GGTGGTCCTGAGGGATTTGGGGGCAGTTTTTGGGGGTCCCCAGTGGGGTCTGGGGGGTCCCCAATGGGGTCTGGGGTTTCACCCGGCCCCTCCTTTGCGCCCCCAAGGACACCGACCAGGCCCAGGGGGGCAGGGGGTGCTTCCAGCTGCCCTCTGTGAAAGAGGAGGAGGAGGACGAGGAAGAGACGGAGGATGAGATGGAGGAAGAGCCCTTGGGGGCCGTGGCCATCGCTGGGGTCAGCGCTATAGCCCTGGAGGAGGCGGAGCTCGGCAGAGAGAAAGGGGCGGAGCAAAGTGGAGGAGGAGAGGGCGGGGCCTGGACGTTGCCCCGCCCACCTCGCCCCACACAGGTCTGTCAGTCAGCGCTTGAGTGCAGCGACGTCAACGCCATCGCCTCTTCAAGCCTTGCTCCGCCCTCCCCGCCGGCCCCTCCCCAGGTAATCGCTGCCCCCGCAAGCCCCGCCCCCACCCCGCCATCCCCTCCTCCTGTTGTGACGTCAACGCCGCCTCCACGCCCAAATCCCCGCCCCCTCTGACTTCACCACAGGAGGTGGGGCTTGAACATCTTGGCCCTGCCCCCCGTGGCCCCGCCCCCTCATCACTGTCGCAAAAAATGGCCCCAAAACCCCCCCAAAAATGGCCCCAAAATCCCCACCGAAACAGCCCCAAAAATCCTCCAAAACAGCCCAAAAATCCCCCCAGAAATGGCTGCAAAATTTACAAAAAATGTTTCCAGACTCCCCAAAAATGGTTCCAAAATATTTCCACAAAATCATGTGAATCAGCCCCAAAATGTTCTAAAAGCAGCCCAAACATCCCCAAAAAATGGCCCCAAAAATGGCCTCAAAACCCCCCAAAAAACCTCCCAAAATGGCTCTGGAATCCACCCCAAAAATGCCCCTAAAATCCCAAAAAATCCCCTAAAAACAGCTCCAAAATTGTCCCAAATATGGCCCCAAAATCCCCCCATAAATGGCCCCAAAATCCACAAAAATGGCCTCAAAATCCCCTAAAAATGGCCCCAAATCACCCCCAAAAATGGTCCCAAAATCCGCCTAAAAATTGCCCCAAAATCACCCGGATCAGCTTCAAAAACCCCCCTGCAAAGTTCCCCCAAACAGAACCAAAATCCCTGAAAAAGGCCCCAAAATCCTCCCTAAAATTTCCAATAATGGCCCCAAAAAGGCCCCCAAGCCCCCCAAAAACAGCTCCAAAATCCACAAAACCAGCCCAAATATCCCTAAAAGATGACTCCAAAATCCCCCCAAAAATGGCCCTAAAATCCCCCAAAATCCCGAATTTGCCCAAAATGCAGAGATTTCTCCCCATTTTGCAGGTGCCCTCAGGGAGGATGAGCGGCTCCAGTCCCGTGTCCCTGGGGTCCCCAAATCCCCCTGAAACCACCCAAAAATGCCCCCAAAATCCCTTAAAATTCTCCATTTTCCCAAAATTCCCAATTTTCCCAAAATTCTCAAATTTCCTCCCTTAAATCCCAAACTTCTCCCATAAAATCCCCCCAAAACTGTCTAAAAACGCCCTAAACATCCCAATTTTCCCAAAATTCCCAAATTTCTACCCAAAATTTTCCAAATTTTCTCCCAAAATCCCCCCAAAACTGCCTAAAAATCCAATTTTTTTGCCCCAAATCTCCAAATTTTCACCCAAAAATCCCAAATTTTCCAAATTCTCAGAACTCACCCCAGATTTCTCTTTTCCAGGAGCCCTCAGACAGAATACTGAGGTCTTCAAACCCACCGGAAACCGCCTAAAATCCCTCCCTGCAAAATCCCACAAAAAATCCCAATTGTTTCTCTAAAAATCCCAGTTTTGCCAGCAAAAGATTTATACTGGTTTGTACTGGGAATGCATTGGGAGCAATCTGGAAATGGCTGTGCTGGGCTACACTGGGTTGCACTGGGTTGCACTGGGCTCTGCTGGGTTGCACTGGAGAGAGACGAGAACAGACAGAAAGGATCAACCTTCATTAATGAGTTCTGAAAGTTCCCCAAGTCCTGCAGAAATAAAAGCTATTGACTGCATACATTGCCTGAGGGATTTAATATGGAATCTTATTTTTTTTATTACATTGTTGATGAAACTATAAAGGAACAAGCTCAAAAAAAAAAAATCAACAGAAAATTTATTTCCACTGCCTTTATTGTTGGAATGATAGAAATCAAGAATGTTGGAATGGTCTTTTCTGCATCATTCAAAGAAAGACTGAGAGAGAAAATGCTCTTCAGGACAAATATTCAGCCATTTCTCCTCTGCTGATGATGACATAGTGAATTTTTTTTTTTTTTTGGGTCTTGCTGTTCTTTTTCTTATTTTTCATTGTTTTATTGGATCCCCTCTTTCAGAAAAACCAGGAATATTTGTAACAACATTTAAAGGTCTGTTTTCACCCCAAACACTTGCACTCATTTCTGTGATATGTACTGAGTCAGAGACAAAACTGACTTAAACCACAGGAATGTGGGAACTCAGACATTACACTGAGACATGGGAACTCACCTTTCATTTAAGAAGCTGTTGGAATTTTCAGATTTATTGGACGGCTTTAAACACAGACATAGAAATCACTGCGGCAGATTCTGCTGGAAAGCCACGTGGATTTTGTGGAGCCAAATGCTTGTAAAACACACATAAAAACCCCCAGAGAGCAAAGAGCCCCTGCCAGCGGCTCTGCTGGGGCAGTGCTGACCACACTGAGCACACTGAGCACACTGACCAGTACCAACCCACACTGACCACGCTGACCAGTACCAACCCACACTGACCAGTACCAACCCACACTGACCACACTGACCACACTGACCACACTGACCAGTACCAACCCACACTGACCACACTGACCCACACTGACCACACTGACTACACTGACCACACTGACCAGTACCAACCCACACTGACCACACTGACCACACTGACCAGTACCAACCCACACTGACCAGTACCAACCCACACTGACCACACTGAGCACACTGACCACACTGACCAGTACCAACCCACACTGACCAGTACCAACCCACACTGACCACACTGACCAGTACCAACCCACACTGACCAGTACCAACCCACACTGACCACACTGAGCACACTGACCACACTGACCAGTACAAACCCACACTGACCAGTACCAAACCACACTGACCACACTGACCAGTACCAACCCACACTGACCAGTACCAACCCACACTGACCACACTGAGCACACTGACCACACTGACCAGTACCAACCCACACTGACCACACTGACCACACTGACCAGTACCAACCCACACTGACCACACTGAGCACACTGACCACACTGACCAGTACAAACCCACACTGACCAGTACCAAACCACACTGACCACACTGACCAGTACCAACCCACACTGACCAGTACCAACCCACACTGACCCACACTGACCACACTGACCACACTGACCAGTACCAACCCACACTGACCACACTGACCACACTGACCACACTGACCAGTACCAACGCACACTGACCACACTGACCACACTGACCACACTGACCACACTGACCAGTACCAATCCACACTGACCACACTGACCACACTGACCACACTGACCACACTGACCAGTACCAACCCACACTGACCACACTGACCACACTGACCACACTGACCAGTACCAACGCACACTGACCACACTGACCACACTGACCAGTACCAACCCACACTGGCCACACTGACCACACTGACCACACTGACCAGTACCAATCCACACTGACCACACTGACCACACTGACCACACTGACCACACTGACCACACTGACCAGTACCAATCCACACTGACCACACTGACCACACTGAGCACACTGACCACACTGACCAGTACCAACCCACACTGACCACACTGACCAGTACCAACCCACACTGACCAGTACCAACCCACACTGACCACACTGACCACACTGACCACACTGACCACAATGACCACACTGACCAGTACCAACCCACACTGACCAGTACCAACCCACACTGACCACACTGACCACACTGACCAGTACCAACCCACACTGACCAGTACCAACCCACACTGACCACACTGACCCACACTGACCACACTGACCACACTGACCACACTGACCAGTACCAACCCACACTGGCCACACTGACCACACTGACCACACTGACCACACTGACCCACACTGACCACACTGACCCACACTGACCACACTGACCAGTACCAACCCACACTGGCCACACTGACCACACTGACCACACTGACCACACTGACCACACTGACCCACACTGACCACACTGACCAGTACCAACCCACACTGACCACACTGACCACACTGACCACACTGACCCACACTGACCACACTGACCAGTACCAACCCACACTGGCCACACTGACCACACTGACCACACTGACCACACTGACCAGTACCAACCCACACTGACCACACTGACCACACTGACCACACTGACCACACTGACCCACACTGACCACACTGACCAGTACCAACCCACACTGACCACACTGACCCACACTGACCACACTGACCACACTGGCCACACTGACCAGTACCAACCCACACTGGCCACACTGACCACACTGACCACACTGACCAGTACCAACCCACACTGACCACACTGACCACACTGACCACACTGACCAGTACCAACCCACACTGGCCACACTGACCACACTGACCACACTGACCCACACTGACCACACTGACCAGTACCAACCCACACTGACCAGTACCAACCCACACTGACCACACTGACCACACTGGCCACACTGACCACACTGACCACACTGACCAGTACCAACCCACACTGACCAGTACCAACCCACACTGACCACACTGACCACACTGACCAGTACCAACCCACACTGACCACACTGGCCACACTGACCACACTGACCCACACTGAGCACACTGAGCACACTGAGCACAGTGCCCTGTTCCTGTCCCCACAGGTGAGAAGCCCCACCAGTGCTCGGTGTGCTGGCGCTCCTTCTCGCTCCGCGATTACCTGCTGAAGCACATGGTGACGCACACGGGCGTGCGCGCCTTCCAGTGCCCCGTGTGCTGCAAGCGCTTCACGCAGAAGAGCTCGCTCAACCTCCGCATGCGCGCGCACCGCCCCGAGCGCCGCCTCGCCCGCCGCGGCTGCGCGCCACGCGCCGCCATCAACAGGCACGTGGGACAGCACGGGACGGCAATGGGGACAGCGATGGGGACAGCAGGGACACCAATGGGGACAGCGATGGGGACAGCGATGGGGACAGCAATGGGGACAGCGATGGGGACAGCAGGGACAGCGATGGGGACAGCGATGGGGACAGCAACGACAGCGATGGGACTGCCACCAGGGACATCGACATTGGGGACAGCAACGGGGACACACTGCGCGCCACTCCAGAGGCACATGGCGGCCGCCGCGCACCCAGGGACAGCAATGGGGACACAAATGGGACTGCCACCAGGGACACCAATGGGGACAGCAATGGGGACAGCAGCAGGGACAGCGGGGACAGCAATGGGACTGGCGCCTGGGACACCGATAGCAGGGACAGCAATGGGGACAGCAGCGGGGACGCCCCGCGCCATGCTCCAGAGGCACGCGGGACACCATGGGACAGCAGCGATGGGGACAGCGATGGGACTGCCACCTGGGACAGCAGGGACATCGATGGCACTGGCACCAGGGACAGCGACAATGGGAACAGCAACGGGGACAGCAGCGGGGACAGTGATGGGACTGGCACCAGGGACACCAATGGCGGGGACAACACTGGGGACACTGATGGGACTGGCACCAGGGACAGCAAGGACAGCAACGGTGACAGCACCGAGGACAGTGATGGGACTGGCACCTGGGACAGCAGGGACACCGATGGCACTGGCACCAGAGACAGTGACAATGGGGACAGCAGTGGGGACAGCGGGGACACCGATGGGACTGCCACCAGGGACACCAACAATGGGGACAGCAACGGGGACAGCAAGGACACCACTGGGACTGCCATCAGGGACAGCAGGGACACTGGGACTGCCACCAGGGCCACCACCTGGGCTGCCACCAGGACTGCCACCAGGGCCACAGTCTGGGCTACCACCAGGGCCACCACTGGGACTGCCACCAGGACCATCACAGGGACTGCCACCACAACTGCCACCAGGGCTGCCACCAGGGCCACCACCGGGGCCACCACCAGGGCCACCATCTGGGCCATCACCAGGACCACCATCTGCGATGCCACTGGGGCCACCACCAGGGCCATCACCGGGACCACCACCTGGGCTGCCACCAGGGCCACCAGCAGGGCCACCACTGGGATCACCACTAGGGCCACCACCAGGGCCACCTGCAGGATCGCCACCAGGGCCACCACTGAGACTGTCACCAGGACAATCGCCCGGGGTGCCACTGGAGCCACCACTCGGACTGCCACCTGGGCTGCCACCAGCGCCACCACCGGGCTGCCACCAGGGCCACCATCAGGACTACCACCAGGACCACCACTGAGACTGCCACCACCTGGGCTGCCACCAGGGCCATCACTGAGACTGCCACCAGAGCCACCACCAGGGCCACCACCTGGGCTGGCGCTGGGGCCATCACTGGGACTGCCACCACCACTGGGACTGCCACCAGGGCAAACAGGGCCACCACCTCCACCAGGGCTGCCACTGGAACTGCCACCAGGGCCATCACCAGGGCCGCCACCTGGGCTGCCACCAGGACTGCCACCAGGACTGCCACCCAGGTCATCACCAGCGCTGCCACCAGGGCCACCACTGCCAGCAGGGCCACTGGGACTGCCACCAGGGCCACCGCTTAGACTGCCACCAGGGCCATTACCACCAACAGGGCCACCACTGGGACTGTCACCAGGGCCACCATTGGGGTCACCAGGGCTGCCACCAGGGCCATCACTGGGACTGTCACCAGGACTGCTACTGGGGCCACCAGGGCCACCACTGCCACCAGGGCCAACATTGGGGCCACCAGCAGGACCACCAGGGCCACCATCTGGGCTACCACTGAGGCCACCACCGGGGCCATCATCAGGGCCACCACCAGGGCCACCACCGGGGCCACCACTGGGGACACCACCAGCAGGAACACCACCAGGGCCACCAGCAGCAGGGCCACCAGCAGCAGGGCCACCAGCAGGGCCACCACCAGCAGGGCCAGCAGCAGAGCCTGGCCCGGGCCCGTGTCCGGCCGTAGTGGGCGCTGGCCCCGCTCCCACAGCAGGGAGGGCCTGGGGGTGAGGGATGGAGCAGGAGCATGAGGGCATCTCCAGGGGCTTCTGCAGGGTGTGGGCACCTGCCTGGAGACAGGAGAAGGGGACGGGGGGACACCCGGGGGGACCAGGCAGGACCATGAGCAGGGACAGATCCCGATGGGACCCTTGGAATGTTCTGGAACTCTGCTGGGCACGGGGATTGGATGGATGGACCATGAGGGTGATGATGTCATTGAGCTGGTGGGATCCCTGGAATGTTCTAGAACAGAGATGGGACAGATGGACCATGAGTGGCCATGGAGATGATTGGATGGATGGACCATGAGTGGCCATGGAGATGATTGGATGGATGGACAATGAGGGTGATGATGTCACTGAGCTGGTGGGACCCCCAGAATGTTCTGGAAGTTCTTTAGACACAGGGATTGGATGGACAGACCACGCTGTGACTGACCATGGAGATGATTGGACAGATGGACCACACTGTGATTGACCATGGAGATGCTCGGATGGACGGACCATGAGGGTGATGATGCCATTGAGCTGGTGGGACCCCCGGAATGTTCTGGAATTCTGCTGGGCACCAGGATTGGATCAATGGACCATGAGTGGCCATGGAGATGATTGGATGGATGGAGCATGAGGGTGATGATGTCATTGAGCTGATGGGACCCCTGGAATGTTCTGGAACTCTGCTGGGCACGGGGATCCAGGGACACCTGAGAGCCCACCCAGGAGCTGGGGAGGGCCAGGATGGACACCTGGGGACACAGGGACCCTCACTGTCCCCACCATGGGATGGACACCTGGGGACACAGGGTCTGTCATTGTCCCCACCATGGGATGGACACCTGGGGACACAGGGTCTGTCACTGTCCCCTCCCCAGGACACAGGGTCTGTCATTGTCCCCACCATGGGACACAGGGTCTGTCATTGTCCCCACCATGGGATGGACACAGGGTCTGTCACTGTCCCCTCCATGGGACACAGGGTCTGTCATTGTCCCCACCATGGGACGGACACAGGGTCTGTCACTGTCCCCACCATGGGGACACAGGGTCTGTCACTGTCCCCACCATGGGATGGACACAGGGTCTGTCATTGTCCCCACCATGGGATGGACACAGGGTCTGTCACTGTCCCCACCTGGGGACACAGGGTCTGTCATTGTCCCCACCATGGGACGGACACCTGGGGACACAGGGTCCCTCCTGTCCCCCGATGGTGACAGTGAACCCGGGGACTCAGGGACACTTTTGGTGCTGTTTTTGCCATTTTTTACATTAAAAGTGACATCACCTGTGGGGTGTCACCTGTGCCGTGCCACCTGTGGGGTGTCACCTGTGGGGTGTCACCTGTGGGGTGTCACCTGTGGTGTCACCTGTGCCGTGTCACCTGTGGGGTGTCGCCTGTCGCCTGTGCCGTGTCACCTGTGGTGTCACCTGTGCCATGTCACCTGTGCTGTGTCACCTGTGGGGTGCCACCTGTGCCGTGTCACCTGTGGGGTGTCACCTGTGCTGTGTCACCTGTGGGGTGTCACCTGTGGTGTCACCTGTGCCGTGTCACCTGTGGGGTGTCACCTGTGCTGTGTCACCTGTGCTGTGTCACCTGTGGTGTCACCTGTGCCATGTCACCTGTGCTGTGTCGCCTGTGCCGTGTCACCTCTGCCGTGTCACCTGTGGTGTCACCTCCGTGGTGTCACCTGTGCCGTGTCACCTGTGGGGTGTCACCTGTGCTGTGTCACCTGTGGTGTCACCTGTGCCGTGTCACCTGTGGGGTGTCACCTGTGCTGTGTCACCTGTGCTGTGTCACCTGTGGTGTCACCTGTGCCGTGTCACCTGTGCCGTGTCACCTGTGCTGTGTCACCTGTGCCGTGTCACCTCTGTGGTGTCACCTGTGGGGTGTCACCTGTGCCGTGTCACCTGTGCCGTGTCACCTCTGTGGTGTCACCTGTGGGGTGTCACCTGTGCTGTGTCACCTATGGGGTGTCACCTGTGGGGTGTCACCTGTGCCGTGTCACCTCTGTGGTGTCACCTGTGGGGTGTCACCTGTGCTGTGTCACCTGTGGTGTCACCTGTGGGGTGTCACCTGTGGGGTGTCGCCTGTGCTGTGTCACCTGTGGTGTCACCTGTGGTGTCACCTGTGCTGTGTCACCTGTGCTGTGTCAGCTGTGGTGTCACCTGTGGTGTCACCTGTGGGGTGTCACCTGTGCTGTGTCACCTGTGGTGTCACCTGTGCCGTGTCACCTGTGCTGTGTCGCCTGTGCCGTGTCACCTCTGCCGTGTCACCTGTGGTGTCACTTGTGCTGTGTCACCTGTGGTGTCACCTGTGGGGTGTCACCTGTGCCGTGTCACCTGTGCCGTGTCACCTGTGGTGTCACCTGTGGGGTGTCACCTGTGGGGTGTCACCTGTGCCGTGTCACCTGTGCTGTGTCACCTGTGGGGTGTCACCTGTGGTGTCACCTGTGGTGTCACCTGTGGTGTCACCTCTGTGGTGTCGCCTGTGCCGTGTCACCTGCTCAGCTCTGTCCCAGCATCTCCCAGTGTTCCCAATAACTCCCAGTGATTCCATTAATCCCCAGTAATTCCCAGTGCTCCCAGTATGTCCCAGTGTCCCCAGTAACCCCCAGTGTCCCCAGTATGTCCCAGTGTTCCCAGTATGACCAAGTGGGACATATTGGGAACACTGGGGGTTACTGGGGATACTGGGACATACTGGGAACACTGGGACATACTGGGGACACTGGGACATACTGGGGACACTTGGACATACTGGGAACACTGGGGGATACTGGGAACACTGGGGGATATACTGGAGAACACTGGGGACACTGGGCGTTACTGGGAACACTGGGAGATATTGGGGGTTACTGGGAACACTGGGGGTTACTGGGGGTAACTCGGAATACTGGGAGCCACTGGGAGATACTGGGAGTTACTGGGGCGGCACATGGGGGTTACTGGGAGCACCGGGAACACTGGGAGTGACTGGGAACACTGAGGGAGACTGGGGGTTACTGGGAGCACTGGGAGATCCTGAAGTGCTCCCAGTAACCCCAGAGACACCATTAATCCCCAGCGACTGCCAGTGCTCCCAGTAACTCCCAGTAATTCCCAGTAAGCCCCAGTCTCTCCCAGTATTCCCTGTCCCTTCCCATTTCTGCTCCCCATTGGTTCGTCCAGCTGTCAATCACATCATCGCCCCCTCCCCCCAACCCCCCACCGCAGCGCGCCAAAGCCGATTGGCCGCTCCGTCCAAGAAGCCCCCGCCTTCCCCAGGCATCTACGCCCGCTGATTGGCTCAGCTCCTCCCGCTCTGCGCGCTGATTGGTCCGTTCGCGTCCACGCGCCGGAGGCCTCCTCCCGCCCTTTCCTTCCCGCCTTCTCCTCTCCCATTGCTCCCGCGCGCTGTCAATCCCCACTAATCTCCGCCCTCCCCCTTCCATTGGTTCTCCACAACGTCAATCATGCGCTGCGGGGCGGCACGGGGGCGGGAGCAGCACGCCGTGCCCATCGTGAGGGGGACGCGGCCGCCATGGCGGCGCCCGAGGTGGCGGCGGCGCTCGGGAGCGGCCCCGGGCCGAGCGGAGCGGAGCTGCCCGAGCCGCTGGGGCTGCTGGAGCTCTGCGGGGCCTGCAGGCAGCGGCTGAGCCCGCAGCGGAAACCGAGACTGCTGCCGTGCCTGCGCTCCGTGTGCCGGGGCTGCATCGGCAGCGAGCCTGGGGACAAGAACGGTGAGGGGATACTGGGGATACTGGGAGCACTAGGGGATACTGAGGGATACTGGGAGATACTGGGAGCACTGGGAACCGAGACTGCTGCCGTGCCTGCACTCCGTGTGCCGGGGCTGCATCGGCAGCCAGCCTGGGGACAAGAACGGTGAGGGGATACTGGGGATACTGGGAGCACTGGGGGATACTGAGGGATACTGGGAGATACTGGGAGCACTGGGAACCGAGACTGCTGCCGTGCCTGCACTCCGTGTGCCGGGGCTGCATCGGCAGCCAGCCTGGGGACAAGAACGGTGAGGGGATACTGGGGATACTGGGAGCACTAGGGGATACTGAGGGATACTGGGAGATACTGGGAGCACTGGGAACCGAGACTGCTGCCGTGCCTGCACTCCGTGTGCCGGGGCTGCATCGGCAGCCAGCCTGGGGACAAGAACGGTGAGGGGATACTGGGAGTCAGTGGGGATACTGGGAGATACTGGGAGCCACTGGGAGATACTGGGGGTTACTGGGACCACTGGGAGCACTGGGAGATACTGGGACCACTGAGGGTTACTGGGAACAGTGGGAGCAGTGGGGGTTACTGGGAGATACTGGGAGTTATGGGAGCACTGGGGGATACTGGGATCACTGGTGATTACTGGGGGTTACTGGGAGATACTGGGAACACTGGGAGATACTGGGGGTTACGGGAAACATATGGAGAGCCTGGGAACACTGGGGATACTGGGAGGTATTGGGGGTGACTGGGAGCACTGGAAGCATTGGGAGCTACTGGGAGATGCTGG